AAAAAAAAAAAAAAAACAATATGGTACTGGCACAAAAACAAATACATTGACCAATGAAATGGAATTGAAAGCTCAGAAATAAACGCAGTACATATCTGGACCTACTCTATGATAAAGCTATAATAGGAACAGGGTATCTCTAATAAATGATGGAAAACCATACATAAAGGAAATTTCAAGATTAAAGGACAAACTAGGTCCCTGCCTGGTGGCAACAGTGGGTTAAAACACAGCATTAAGAAGCTAAAGGCACTTTAGCATGAGTTTGATCCCCGCCCCAGAGGTGACCCCCATTGTGCGGCAGACCTCTCCTGACCTGCCCTTTGCTCCCCTCAGCAGTGTTCTTCATCAATCTGCCTATTTTGCTCCCTACTCTGTCTCTGGTAAATCCTCTCACCACCCCCACACCTCTGGCCTGTACCCCAGTTCTGTATGCATAAATAAATAAATCTTAAAAAAATAAAGACATCCTATTGAATGGGAGATGATATTCACACAGTATATAACTGCTAAGGAGTTAATACCCAAGACACACAAGAAACACAAAAAAAGTAATAAATGGGTAGCAGATATGGACAGTTGACCAGAGGATATCCAAACCAGTAGGTATATAAAAAAACATTTATCATCACTTCCAATAAGAAAGATGCAGGTCAAAATCACAATGAAATGGAACCTCACACCCATGAGAATGGCACATATTAAAATACTTCCAATTAGTGCTAGAGGATATGGGGAAAGAGAAACCCTTTTACACTGTTGGTGGGAAAGCAAATTGGTGCAGTGTTATGGAAAGCACTGATTTACCTTAAAAGAATAAATGGAAAGAAATACTGTGTGATCTGGCAGTCCCATTCTTGGGCATCTACCTTAAGAATAGAAACTGCTTTCTGCACATAGATATCACTGAGGAACCATCATAAAAGTCTCCTGCTGCCATCATGTCTAAGTCAGAATCTCCCAACAAGTGGAAACTCTTCATTGGCAGGTTAAGCTTGGGGAGTCTGAGAAACCACTTCTTTGAGCACCAGGGAACCCTCACAGACTTTGTGGTAATGAATAATCAAACACCAAATGCTCCAGAGGCTTTAGGTTTTCATATAAGCCACTGTGGAGGTGTTGGATGCAACCATAAATGCAAAGCCACATGAGGTGAATGGAAGATGTGGAGAACCATAAAGGGCTGTATGGAGAAACAACTCTCAAAGACCTAGTGCCCACCTAACTGTGAAACATATTTTTGTTGGTAGCATTAAAGATGACACTGAGCATCACCTAACAGATCATGTTGAGCTCTATGGGAAAAATGAAGTGACTAAAATCATGACTGAGGCAATGGCAGAAAGAAAGGCCTTGCTTTTGTGACCTTTGAAGACTGATTCTGTAGACAAGATTGTCACTTAGAAATATGCTGTTAATGGCCACAACTGTGAAGCAAGATAACCCCATTAATACAAGAGTTGGGCAGTGCTTCATCCTTCGAAAGTGGCTTGGTGGTGGCAGTGGTAGAGGTGGTTTTGGTGGAAATGACAAGTTTGGTCATGAGGAAACTTCAGTTGTTGAGGTGACATTGGTGGCAGCCATGATGGTGAATATGGTGGCAGTAGGCATGGCTATAATGGATTTGGTAATAATGGAAGCAGTCTTTGAGGTGGTAGAAGCTGCAATGATTTTGGCAGTTGCTACAGTCTTCAAATTTTGGACCTATAAAAGCAGGAAACTGGAGGCAGAAGCTCTAGCCCTGATGGTGGTAGGTGCTAATACTTTGCCAAACCACAAAACCAAGGTGCAGCAATAGTGGCAGAAGCTTTTAATTAACTGCAAGGATACAAAGCTTAGCAGAAGAGGAGAAGCAGAAGATTTGTGAACTCAGCTAAGCACAATGGTGGCAGGACTGCATTGTTACAAAGAAGACATGTTTTAGACAATACTTGTGTGTGGGCAAAAAACTCAAGGCTAATTTTATAACAGCTTATTTCTGTTTCTGTTCTGTGGAAAGTTAAAGCATTCCAACAAAGGTTTCTAGTGTGTGGTTTTGTTATTTTTTTCTCTTGCACCGATGCTGTTTATTGTTGAATGTAATAGTCTGATCAAAATATTGAATAATTTTTTAATAAAACCATGGACATAAGAAAACTGCATGCCCTACAGTATTTCTTACAGCACTGTTTATAATAGCAAGTACATGAAAGCAGCCTAAATGTAGATCAAAAGACAATTGGCTCAAGAAGATGTGGTATATTTGCATACTATGGAGTACTATTCGGGCATAAGTAAAAGTGATCATTTTTAGCGAAATGGAAGGAGTCTGAAAGAATTATGTGTAGTAAAGTGAATCACAACAATGAAATACTGGACATTTGTATAGCACGCAACTTGATAAAGTAAAATATTTAGAAAAAACTAGCAACATTAATGAATACTTAGGGCTCTGAGGATAAGAGGGAAGAGAAGGGAACGTGACAAGGGGTTACAAGGGGTACAGGTGGGCAGAAATAATTTAAAGATTAACACAAATTCATAGTTAAAAGGGTCTTTATCAGACCTTTCTTTTTTATTTATTTATTTATTTATTTTTGCAGATTCCATTGCAGACACTCTGGATGGATAATACCATTAAACTTCTGGATCTAGTAGAAGTTAGTAGCTCAGTCCTCACCGGTATGAATTTTTGAATAGATGACAATGAAAATATTTTCACTATAGTCCATTTGAAAATATGTCTGCTTTACCATAGGTCTCCTTGACTAAAAGTAGAGATTCTTTTGTTTTGTTTCAGTTCAGTAATTGATTATCTTATTTGCAGTGTCTACTAACATATTTTCTTGTCAATTATCATAAAAACCTGGGAGGTAGGCAGAGCAGTGTTACTATCCCATTTTAAGCTCTGTGATTTCCTACTTTAAGGTTTTCAGGCAGTGCAGACTGACTTTGTTGAATAGATTCTGGTGAATAGCATAATAAAGACCCAGTAGCATCTTAGGCCAGAGTGTAGCATTTAACCACACAGGTCTGTTCAGGGCTATCAGTACCCTCCCAAGTGGTCGCCTGAGGAGTATGAACCACAGAGGGAGTTGGTCTGGTTCAGAGGGGTCAGAATTAATACTTATTTGGCCAAGGGTGAAAGGGCCAGCTTACATCTTGAGCCCCTCATCTCTCTTCATTGGTAGATTCCCAAAATGGTCCCCAAAGCAGTCAAAACTTCTAGGCTCAACATTTCAGGTTGATTTTGGAGAGATTGAATAAAGGACTCATAGCTTTTTATGTACACAGAAAGCTGCTGTCATGGGTTCAGGTAGACACCAGTACCATGTTCCATTTCAAGCTTTGGATTACAAGTCAGTCCTCACCACATATGTCTATGTGCTGCCTCCCAAGGTGCATTTTGAATTTTTAGAAGCTTTATAACATTTCGTAATTATTTATTCTCTCTCATATATCATTGTCCCTTCTTTTCTTTAGATCAAAAATTAACAGGACAGGCTGTTTTTCCAGGGTCAGTTATATACCACAAACAATCACAAATGCTGCTGGTTTGTTGCAAGGTACCTTTTCCTTAAATTTCAATTTATCATATTTTTTTTCTTATAGTTTATATCATTTATCATTTTCAGTTAGGATTTATTTCACTTGATCTCTTGGCCATCAGATTGAGCCATGATTGTGGTTTAATTTTCTTAGGAAATAAAATCTCTAGCGTAATTTTAAAAGTAGTGAACTTTTGCCAAGGCATTGTTGAAACAATGCAAGAAAATTCAGTAACTTTAGTGCTTTTTCAAAAGGAAACTTGTATGTTCTCAGAAATCCAGTTTAATTAACAAGTCATCTTAATAGGACTATCACAAGATAGTTTTGTTGAAAATCTGGTCCAACTACTATAGTTCATGTATCTTACTTGCTTCTACTGTTCAGTCATGGTCAAAGGTATTTCTTAACTATTTAAAATGACTTTGGGATCATTATTGTTTTAAAAGACAATGGCATTTTCCTGAAAAGTGTTCCACATCCCTTCCATTTTGTGGGTATTTTCCTTCATATGGTGTTTATGTGAGATGTTTCATGTTCAAGAACGGTGTATGATAGATTGACCTGACCCACACAGTCTCTAGATACAGAACCCCTGCATCACCCTCTTCACCCTTCCCTGAAAGAGCACTGGTGCACGTCTTGCTCTGCTTGACAGGGTCTATAAATATCTGTATTACAAGTCTAGTTTGCTGTTATAGAGGAAGTTGCGGTTGTCTGAATATGTGAGTTTGAGACCCACCAGTTGTGTTTTCACAGAAAATCACTAATCTCTGGCTATCAGTTTTCTATAATGGAGGTGATTTTGGATCTCCCTGCCTTTTAGAGTGGTTATGTTTCGACAGCCAAAACATAAAATGCATAGACATACTCTGAAAACTATAAAGACCACGTAAATATGATATACCTTTATTCTGTTCTCTTAAGTTCAGACAGTCTTAACAGTGCTATATATTTGTTTTCCTTCCTTGGCAATAAAATTTTAAAGTCAAGGGATCATATGTTGCTTACAGTACTATTTGTAGCTAGACATTTAACAATGATTTGTTGGTTGGTTGTTTGGTTTTCACAATAAACTTTTTATAAATTAAAATTTCCTTAGTTTTGCCCCAACTGCCTAGTAACTAGTTGTCTTTGGCCTTTTAGGATGGTTGGATTGGTGTTCAGTCAGTGATGCTCAAGAAAACACTAACAGCTACTGATTTCTACAATGGATATTTGCACCCCTGGTACCAGAAAATTTCCCAAGCTCAACCAAGCCAATGCAGATTTCAGACTCTCAGACTTCCAGCAAAGACGAAGCAGGAAAAAAAATTGTTGCTATGCAACAGTGCATTAAGTAGTTAGGAAGAGGATGGACAAGACCTATTACGTATTTGTAATTTATTAAAAGCCTTATTTACAAGGAATTACCTTTACTCTTAAAGAAGATGATACTGTTGGAGGAAGAGAAGATTATTGTCAAGAAATTACCTCATGTCCCTTTTTTTGTTTAACAGTAGTCAAAGACAAACCTTTTCTACTTGAATAATTAAAGAAGCTTTAAATAAAAATTATTTATATCAAACTGAAGGAGATTGTATTTTTCCCTAAGAGCAGGGGTAATTAGGTGGTACACATGTGTATACTAAAAAGAGGTTCTTTTAGAAAGTGTATCTGTTGAATTTTTTAAAGTCATGTTACCATTGACTGGATTATTTTAAGAGAAGTATTTCATCATTTCTAATTTTCAACAAGTAGTAAAGTCAGCTCTTTAAATGTCTCTGCTATCTAGTTCCCATCAAGTAGTAGTAAACATAGATAATAATATCTGTTATACTGGTCTATACAGTCACATTTTAGGTTTTCTTGAAGTAGAAATATGGTAACACTTCTCGGTATACTTATGCAGTAAAAGTTATTGACATCTGGTTTGTGCAAACTCATCTTCTCTGTCCTCAAGAAGTTTTTAGGCACTTTTGGAGGAGAATGGAGATGCAAAGTCGTCAGTTACTGAATTTTTAAGAATTTCTATATATTAATTTTTTCCTGCCTAAATTTTATCAGTTAAAAATCTCCATTAATTCATTCAACATTTTTGAAAGGGTAATCATACAATTGGCCACCTAAATCAGGGCACATAAATTACCATAATAATTCCTGACAACAGGCAAAAGCCAGGGCTCTTCCAGGCTCACTGAGTTGTCTCAACACCTTATGTATTGAGCTTTCCCATAAATTATATATTTACTGTATAATTAGCCTTTACTCTGGTTGCTGGAGAAAATTTAGTCTAAACTTGACACATTTTACAGAGAAGGAAGCCATGCCTAAACAGAGGGAACATCTTACCCAAGAAGAAAATTTAGGTTTCTTACTACCTGGATGATAGCTATGGAGTGTTAATCATTATAACTGTATAGAATTTGCTTGACAGGACATTAGATAGCAAGCTTTAAACAGCCATGTCAGCATCTTTCTTGGGCAGTTCCAGAATCCCACTTATGTCTAACTCCTATAATCCAGTATAGTATGTATAGTATAGTATACTTGAACCAGGACCTAGTATAATTTGAAGTAGAACACTGTAGTCAGTGTATTCTGGGAATCTTTGAAAAGATGTTATTCCAAGAAACAGTATTGGCATAGAAAAACTATGTATTTTACTCATCTGTTTTTTGTTTTTTTTTTTCAAGGATCCATGGTTCTTCAGAGTAAAATAGGGAAAATTCATTCCAGTAGGTGAGGAGGAGGAAGGCATTTTAAGCAGAGGAGAGAATATATACAAACACCTAGAAGTTTCAGACCTCAACAGCCAGACCTGCTCTAGCTTTGAAATACACTTTGAAATTTAGCTTAAAGGCAGTAGAAAGCTATCAAGGGTTTGACAGAGGGGTTTAAAGCAGGATTTAGAACATGAATATAGATGCTTTTTTTTTTTTTTTTAAAGATTTATTTACTGGCCCTCCCTGGTGGCGCAGAGGGTTAAAGCACAGCACTAAGAAGCTAAAGCCACTTCAGCATGAGTTCGATCCCAGCCCTGGGGAGGTGATCCTGACCCGCCTGCTGCTCCCCTCAGCAGTGTACTTCATCAGCCTGTCTGTTCTGCTCCACATTCTGTCTCTGGTGAATCCTCTCATCGCCCCTGCACTGCCTGTACCCCAGTTCTGTAAGCGTAAATAAATCTTTTTTTAAAAATCATATAACAACATATAGTTACATAAATTCAAGTATCAAATATAACAGAAAAAATTCTCCTTCACTGCCCCATCCATCCCCAGTTCCTCCTCAGAAGTATACACTATTCTGTTTGGTGTGTATACATGCATAAAATCTTTAGGATCATTTTGCATGTATGCTTCAAAACAAATACCTGTCAAAAGATCATTTTGAGGGATAGAGCTTGAGTTCGGGTAATTCTGAGAACCAGCTAAACCATAAGTTTACTTTGCTTGTTGTTTAGACTATTTTGTGAACATTCCAATTTTTAAGGAAAATTCTCACACAGGGATTGGTGCCATGGGAAACACCTGGCAGACCCCCATGATGACAGGTGCAGAGCCTCACAGTCTCCCTACCAGAGGTCTGCTATGTTGTGGCCCCGCCCTGGGTCAAATGTTAGCTCCCTACAGTTGTGCAATTACAAGACAGCTGGAATTCACAGATATTAAGTGTTCCTTGTTCAAAGTAAAGAATGGACAATGTGTGTGTCATATGTTATAGAACAACTGAGGATTCACATATGACCATGGTGACCTAAGGGAAACAAAACATTTGTTTTTGGGGGTTTGTTCTTTTACATGTACTGTATCTCTACATATAGCAAAGCATATCTATATAGTGAGATCATTTTTAATTTTTAAGCATCAAGTTAAAAACTAGTACCAAACTAACAGTATAATAACTTCTAATATATTTGGACACATCCATACTTAAGTCTCACCAGGGTTGCTAATAGAGACGTCTGGGAATGTGAGACATGAGGAGTAAAACTTTAGGAATACATGTGGGTAGATTTACTTTTTCACTTATTGATTCATTCACTTACATTTAATACCTATGAAAGCCAGATAATTGCTAAAGCACTGGTTGGAATACTCTGTTCCCTCTCCTCTAAATGAAAGTACCCAGCTGAGGAGATGGGTAAATAATGTAATGAGTAGACCCACAATGGATTTTACATACAATCAATGACTTACCTACCAGCTTTTCCATTCATTAAGCTATCACAGATTTTGGGGGAAAGCCCCAAAGTTAAAACTCTTCTGTGGAAAAATTCCCTAAATACTTATGTAGTGCTTGTAATAAAAAATTACTTCCTGTGACTGACCTGAAATTCCTAATGACTTGGGAGAAAAAAGACCAAAGTTTTACTTGTGCTCATGGGAAATGTTTTTGGGATTTGTCCAAAATCTAAACTGGGACTCATGTTTCATAGAAAGAAGGGCAGGGGTCATAGTTATTTAGGTAGGAGCAAAACCCAAAGGCCTTTTTTTTTTTTTAAAGATTATTTATTTGTGCATACAGAACTGGGGTACAGGCCAGAGGCTCAGGGACAGCGAGAGGCTTCACCAGAGACAGAGTGGGGAACAGAACAGGCAGATCGACGAAGTACACTGCTGAGGGGGAGCAGCGGGCCAGTCAGGAGAGGTCTGCCACACCATGTGGTCACCTTCGGGGCAGGCAGGAATCGAACTCATGAGGAAGTGGCTTTAGATTCTGAGTGCTGTGCTTTAACCCACTGTGCCACCAAGGAGGGCCCCAAAGGCCTTTTATAAGTCTTCCTCAGACTGATTGGGCTCTTTCAACAGGACCTTATGGCAGTATCACTAAAAAACGTTTAAACAAGGGAATTTACCAGTCATTCAAACTTATCACATTATTCAACCTGCAAATATTTGACTGAAAGAAAAAGTCGTCATCTCTGTAACAGCTTGCTAAAGAATAAAGAGTGTAAATTTATTGCCATTCTCTATTTCTTTAAGTGAAAGTGATGTAGGAGCTCTGGAGTTTCCCTGGGAGAGATCCCCAAAACATCTGCATGCACGTGGGAGGTGTGAGTGTTACAGAGCAGGACTATGGAGAGTGTCTGTGGCTGTGGTAAAGAAAAACATCCTGCCAAGAAAAGAGAACATACAAAGTCCGGTTCACTAGAACATGGAACCCAGAGGGATCCCCTCAAAACTTGACACTGCTGAAAACGAAAGGCACCAACTTTTCCCAAGAGGATGCGAACTGAGGGCAGAGGCAGGTTCTCAGGGGCTAGGAACCCCTCCTTTACCCCTAACAACCTTTCCTTGGTGCCCACGTCAGACAGGTGACCTACAGCTGATCTAGACACAATTCCAACGCCCCGCCCTACCTCTAGGGAAAACGACAGCTCCCCACCCCACTTCTAGAAACGAGAGCGCCGAGACTCGTTAGTCCTGGCCTCAAACTCGCTCTGTCACCATGGTGACTGCTCGTATCACGCAGCCCCGCCCCTTCCTCATGACGTGACCCCGCCCCTTCCGAACCCGGAAGCGAGAACCTCTTGCCAGCTGCTCAGACGGTTCGGGAGGAGGGAGCGCGGCGGCCCTGGCTGGCTTGGCCGCGCGCCCCGCCCCTCGGAGGCCGGCCCTCCAGCGCGCCCCCAAGACCTGCTGCGCCTGCGGGTCCTGAGCGCTGCGGCCGCCCGCCAGACCCCGGCCCTGCCGCCTCCCTGGCCCGTGCCTATACTGGAGGGAAGAGCCGCGAGGGGAGAAGGGAAGGGACGTGGGGGCGGCCACGGCAGGTAGGGGTGGGCGAGGCCCCAAGACGCAGCGTTGTGGATGTGTGAGAGGTATGAAGTTGAAGGTGGGTGTGTATGCCGTGTGCGCAGCTGCCTCTCCCCGAGCGACTTTGTCTGTGTGGCCCCGAGTGGGCCGATCCATGTGACCCTGCACGTGATCACATGACCGCGTGTGTGTGTGTGTGTGTGTGTGTGTGTGTGTGTGTGTGTGTGTGTTTCTGAGGTCCAATCTAAATTCGGGGAATGGCCACTGTACCTGTGACCCTGCCTTTATGAGACTGTAACAACCGGTGAGATAGGTGAGGGTGGGAACAGTGTGTAGGTCGCCAAAGGTAGGTGTTGACTAGGACATCCTCCTGTAATCCCGCATATGTATCTCAGGTAATGTTTTGCAGTAAACTTTTTAAGAACTCCAAGCAAACGCCAGTCATTGTGGAGATTTTACCTCGGCCTGAGAGTGGCAGATGTCTTTGTCATTGCGGAATACCCACCTAGTGTGAGACTTGTGAATGGGAGTTGAGGGAAGTAGCAGGACTAGACTGTTTAGCTTTTCCTCTTCTCCTTTTCCTAGGGAGTTTAAGTTCTGCATTTAAGCTGCTGCTTTGTAACCACCTACAATATTTCAGCTCTTGTAGGCACAAAGATTCAGGAGACTGGGGAGTAACTTAATAGCTGTGTGCAAATTTCCAAAAGCTTTTATACTGAGAGCACAGGATGAGTGTCACCGGAGAAATGTCAAAGTACGCAGTTTTTCCTCCCGGGAGGTTTAGAAGATAATAGAATAAGTTCCTGAACAAAAAAAGAGACAAACCTCCCC